TAAAACAATAAGACAAGGTACGACCTCTCCCATGCTCCTAGGATGTGGGGGTGAACGCCAGAACACCCTGGAATGTTACAGACCTCCTAGGATGAGACATTCTTTCAATATGCCACCAACTATATACTTCTAAACACAAATGATTACATGCAGTATTCTACCATATGCAAACTTATATCATTAAAAGACTATACTGACTACTAAGTACAATTTTCCATTGACACCCTCTAGACATCCACATGTATGACCAATTTCAAAAGTCATTCTGACTCTAGATTATTTTAAGTTATGATTTATGTCCAGTTTTGCATTTTTGCTGTAGCTTTTTGCATAATCTGAAAGAAATTAATACTTTTTCCTGTGTGTTGTCTAGAATTATTGGTGGTGATACATTTGCACTACTACTGGCATTTAAAGTTAAAAAATAAAAAAAAAGGCTAATAGATGATGCCAAACAGGAGGATAACATTAACAAAATAGTTATTTTTAAATACTATTGAAGCTGTTATAGTATTTTACCATATCTTGCAGTAGAAGCCTTAAATCTACTGGTTTGTGTTACAGTTGCAGCTGTTGCGACCCAAATGAACTGTGAGCTGAACGGGCTGGAACCACCTGTTTGTCTGACGACAAACATGATTGGTTCAGAACCCGACGCCTTCAGCCTGATCCTCTTAGGTGACATGTTCTACGATGAGGCCCTCGCCACTCACCTTCACAGCTGGTTGGACAGCTGTGTCAGAGTCCATGGCACTAAAGTACTTATCGGAGATCCCGGCAGAGCCCAATTTGAGAGTCACAGCATCCGACAGCTGTTGCATCAGCTAGCCCAGTTTGAGCTGCCTGAGTGTGTTAGAGAGGAGAACTATGGTCTAACTTTCAGCACTGTTTGGTGCTACCGTCCTGAACTGTAACAAATAAATCGTAGCATCTGTGATGTATTAATCTCTGCCTAATTATTGTATCAAAAATACTCCCCTGAATTGAAATGTGAAGATGTTTTGTGACTTCTACGCAGTTACTGTTTACTCTGGGTCATGAAAAGTCTTCATTGAAAAGAAGAAACAGAAGTGGAAGGGAATACAAGCTTAAAGTTATTCATAATTTTAGTGTATTGTTAACTTGATCACAATTTTTAAATGCATGTAAGTTACACACTGCATATTAGTGCTATTCACAAACATTTGCAGAGAACTCTCATGAATATATTGGTAAATCAACAAGAAACACTGAGAAATATGATTCTTGAAATATTTGACCTGTATAAAGTATTATGGCCATCACACTATCTTTTTCAACTGTTTAATAACTCATGTCTTAAATGTATTTCACATCGTTCACTTTTGAGTCACAAAATTTAGAAACATTCTGGGCCATTCATACAACCTGGAAAGTTTGGCTTAAAATTATTGACCAATTTAAACACTGGGTGGTGAACAGAAGTTGGCTAAAGACAAAAAACAAAAACAAAGGGAAAAAAACAACAACTTGGTACCAAACTCTTAAACCTTAATGTCACAGAGTACATAGTGTGCATTATTATTACTATTATTATGTAGGCATTAGTAAATACTAACTTAATAAAGATGTGCCACGCTTAATTTCATAAGAAGCATGAAGATACAGTGATCTTTATCCAGAAGTGGGAATTATGTTTGTGGCTAAACCATTATACACAAAAACATCAAAGATCTTAGCGTGCGAGGCTGTGCCAGTAAAGGGTCGTAGATTTGACATCTCTGAATGAAATTCTAAATGTTTTTTATAACTATGGTTAATGTATAGTTTGACTTCTAAGGTACACACAACACAACAAGACATGGAAGAGGGGATAGTTTACTACACATCATAAAAACACAAACATTAATCTCCAATCTTCCAACTGTATCTTTCTGTTCTGACTTTAGAGTCTTTGTTTGTTTATTGAGCTGCACTTTGAGAATCACACTGTTGTGGTAGTGTGGGAGAAAAGGGTAAGGTGTGTGTTGGGTCTGTCTAGCACAGGCCCACCGCTGGAACGAGACAATTTAACTACACAGCAAAAGCATTGAACACCAAGTAGGCAAAGTTCTTTATGTTACTCATGCATGAGGGAGAGAACCACGACAAGCGCCGTTCCTTCGCTTGACCCCAGTCGCTCTCGTCCGCTCCCCCGTAACACTGCTCTTTTATTGAGGTTACATGAATATACATGGATTCATTAACATATGACGTCTACATACACACAAAGAGTACCTTGCCTGTGCGTTGTGTAAGTGTGTGTGTGTGTGTGTGGGGCCAGAGTGTGACCCCATGAAGGCTCCCTAAAGCTGGTGCCAGGAGTCTAGCGGTCCATCTAAACAAAAGGCTCTTACACTCACACGGATATACGTGTGTTTGCTATACCATATATGAGCAAGAGAAGATACGACCTCCCCTAGGACGTGTGTGATCTATGCCTGAACACTCTGTAGAGGAGTGAACGCACCCCCCTCTTCACGCTACACAGTTGTTACAGACCTCCTAGGATGAGACATTTTTTCAATCTACAAATGATTATATACTTCTAAGCATATATGAGTAAATATTTCAAAGCATAAATGACAATGAACAATACAAATCTAACAGTGTGAGAGACTAAACCATTACACAAAAAACTTCTAAAGTCTAAAGAGTGTGTGAGGCTGTTAGCCGTGTTGTCCAGCAATAAACATATCCACAATGTGACTCTCAGAATCGCTGATTTCAATAGGTTTTACTTGGAGCAACGACTGAACCATGTTGATGGGTTTAGATTTTATTATTGTCATTTGTATTAAGAAATATTTACTCATATATGCTTAGAAGTATATAATCAATTGTAGATTGAAAAAATGTCTCATCCTAGGAGGTCTGTAACAACTGTGTAGCGTGAAGAGGGGGGTGCGTTCACTCCTCTACAGAGTGTTCTGGCATAGATTACACACCTCCTAGGAGAGGTCGTATTTTCTCTTTGTTGATATATGTCATAGCAAACATATGTATATCTCTTTAAGCATAAGAGCCTTTTGTTCAGATGGACCCGCTCCTGGCACCAGCGTTTGGGGTGTCTTCACAGGGTCACATCTTGACCTCACACAAATCACACACACACACACACACAGTATTCTTTGTTCACATGTATACCTATGTAAGATGTTATATGTTAATGACCCTATGCATATTCATGTAACCACAATAAAAGGAGTGCTATGGGGAACCTGGCTGAGAGTCTGACGGAGGTCAAGTGGTGGAACGACACTTGGCTCTAGGCAGGTCTCCCTCATGCATGAGTAAACCAGAGAACTTTGGTACCTTGTGTCTTGCTTTTTGCTGTATAGCAAATTGTCCTCAACGTTCCAGCGAATAGGTTTATGCTACAAACCTATCACATGTGACTTATCTGCCTCCTTTATACGGGGTCCCCTCCTGAGGTACAAAATGAGTCTTTCAAATGTGTTGGAATATCCCACTGCATGTATAGGCACTCTGGACACCGCATGGTCTTATTTCTGTTAGCCCTGACTCAGCTGTGGCCTGCTTTCAATTAGTTACGGGTTCACTTTCCTTACAAGTACATCACAGTTATTTGCTCCTGTGTTTAGGGAAAAAAAGCAGCTAATAGTTTGTGGGTTTTGTGTTTGTTGTTAGTGGGTGTCTGTGGTGTTTTGTTTTGGGGTTTTTTTTTGTCAAACTAGGAGTGAACAAAAGCAGAAAAAACAGTAAAGATGCAGACTGTAAAAGTCTAGTTTATTTCGTGAATTCGTCAATTTTTTTTATAGTCCACAAAGCAAAGAAGCCTACAACATAAATGGATACTACAACATAACATGGACAGTACGAAGTAAAACTCATTGTCTTAACAGTTTATATTCTTTACATTTAAGAAAAAAATGATATTGGAGTTTTTTTGGTGTTTTAAGCCTTCTGTTAAAACGTGTGTCTTCACTTCTTTCTCCCAGCAGCTTTACTGAAGTGACACTTTAACCTACAGCTGATGCTTCACATCACAATCTTTATGATGAAAAAAAACGTGTTTTTTCGTTAAAATATGTCTATGCTGTTACTTCTCATGAAAATAGACAAAACCCCTGTTCAAGCTTCCTCTTCTTCCTTCCTCTTTATTAATTACCATAGATCATTAAAAGGGACCACAAAAGATTTGTCATATTATCCCCACAAAACAACATGTTTTCATAGAAACCGTTGTGATTCAGAGATTTAGTCTTTTCACAATGTGTCATGGTCCGGGTGTGTGCCAGTGTGTCTCCCTCCGAGTCGGCATCTTCACCCCTGGGAGGGGCCTCAGTGTTCTGCTGATTGCTCACACCTGTGGGTAATTTAGCCGGGGACTCATAAGGCCAGCGCACTCAA